GCGCTGCTCGTTAAGCTCTCTTGAAAACGGATAAAAATTACGGATCCGCGGATCTCTAAATTTCTCCCGGCCGGCGCGGCGGCGGCGGCGGCAAAAAGCAGTAGCGCGCCGGAGCCGATTTACGCTCCCGCCGCATTCGTAACATCACGCGGTATTATCCGACTTCCATGTAATTCGTTAACAAACGGCTTTCGACTGCGTTGAGACGGCAGATCGTCATTGCTCTAAAAAAGAAAAAATTCTGACCGCAACTAGCTACGATCGCAGATAAACGGACTCGCGGATAATTGTCGAGTGACAATCGTCGACCGAAGATTTCCAATTATGAGCGTTTTTCGCGACGGTCGAGACCAGTCGGGTATGCAACGGGGAAAGGGGAGGGGGCGACGATTCGGTTCGCGAGAGAGAAAAGGGGATGGGTTTGGGCTGGACGTGGACGTGGTAGATGGTGGTTTTGAGAGGGTATGGGCCCGGGCGTTAGAGACAATAGTAGGCGGACAAAAGCGTGATATACGGCGACCCCCGGAGCAGCGGTATTAAAATCATATTTTTAAGCTCTCCGTCCCGCGGGGCAGTGCCGTGGGGTGTCCTTTCTCCCCCTGCCGGGCCCGGTCGGCTGGCCGACCGCCTCTTTTAACCGCCGACCCCTGTGTCTCGCAATCCACCGCTGGACCGCGAAATGGCGGAGGACGGGCGAATGTCTTTGCGGCGCGCCCGGTGCGTCCGTCGCCGCCACCGGATTTAATTGGACTCGCCGGTAATTAACGCGCCCACCGTCGACTAAGACGGACTGTATTGATTTACTTCCAATATCATCCCCCTCAGCGACTAAAGGGCTCTCCGGTCATTCGAAGGGAAAATTGATCCTTCCTCATCGGCGGTTCACATTAATATATTACTAAGGCAGGTGCTACTAAATAATATGTAGAATGCACGCAAATTAAGTTTTGCGGGTTTTTTTAATTTTAACTTTTATATTTTATGGCGCAATTTTATGTAGAAGCTGAACGCTTCGGCGTACTAATTTTACATCGATTTCAACGAAATTCCTTGAACTCGTCGGCAAGAGGAATTACATAGTACGCGTCGACAGTTTCTGTCCGCAATGTTTTTCATAAATCTGCAGTCGTCGCGTCGAGCAGGAAAAAAAAAGATAATAATTCGATGCTCTTGGAACGCTTATGCCCGCGCGTATGCTGTATCCCGGGTGCACTTCATTAAAACTTTTAAATTTTGCCTCGTTCTCATCGTTTCGCAGTGTAACTCGCGAAACGGGAGAGTTTCGCGTCGCGCCGGCATGAATTTGCCGGTCCCTTGAACGTCGTTACGTCAGCCGCGCGAACCTCGTGTAGTGCTTCTCAACATAGTTTCTCATGTAAGTGTCTCGTTCTATATACGTATTTCTTTCGTTTATAACACGCGTAACCGTGAAACTCGTGCATTTTCGCGCAAACTGTCGCAGTCACGCGACTATTCCATCGATTTGCCATCGGAAGAAGCGCAAAGATCTAATCGGTGATTTAACTGCACCCTGTAATCACTAATTATAAAACAGAGTATATTCTCGATTTTTTTGTAATTGTTATAAAGACTTTAAAGCTTTACAAATAAGAGGAAGCTTACCCTTCTTTCATTATTGGGACATATTTTTTCGCACTGCCTTTCGCGTTTCGTATATAAAACATGGACTTATCTATCGCTTGACTATCGCGATCGATATTAACTGTTTTCTTAATTGGGACAAATTGGGCGGGGTTATCGCTTGATATTGACGGTCTGTGACAGTTTAAAGATGGCCGGGTCGAGGTGTTATTTCACTTGTGTTAATCTCCTGAAGATCTAAGGGCCGCCCGACGGCGTTATTAGGCCCGGGCTGACACGAGGGTCGGACGTCTAATCGACCTAGGAATAATGTGTCGCGTTTGCCAGGAACTTGGTCCCTCGGCTGAGCTTGGCTTCGAGGGATATTCTAATCCGCTCCTGAGAGCTCCCACCCGCTTCTCCGCAGAACCTCCGACCGGGAAGAGGGAAGCCGAGAGAGAGAGAGGTGCCGTATGTGCCGCCCGAGCCCGCCGTCCTCCGCTTATTCGTCGCGAAGCTCGCTCGCGAGGATAGACGACGTATAGAACGGGGGAGGACGGCGGGCTGAAAGAGGGGGAGGAAAACGATAATTCGGCTCACTCGGTGGTTGAGCTCCGAGAACGGGAGGACTCCGAGTCCTCGCTCGGGGTGAGCAACTGCGGGCCATTTTCTACCTACTCCCCCTTTCCTCTCCTCTCTTGATATCGTTGTTAGACGGCGACTACCGAAATTCCGCGCTAATCTCGATTTACGACACCGCGGCAAATCATATGTGCCTCCGGCGGTTCTCTCTCTTTCTCTTCCTCTTTCTCTCTCCTATGCGCGCGCGCGTCTTCGCGTTATTAGCCGGTTATCAAGCCGCCGTGTTTCTGAACCATCGGCTGAACCTATATATTGATTGCGCGTATCCTACAGGCGTGGTAAACGGCTTGACATTTCGAAAGAACACTTTTTGGAGATATCTTTAAAAGACATTTATCCCAAACATATTTGTAGGCAGAAAATTCTAAAAACGTTGAACATGATCCAATTTATGTTTCTCTGAATAATCGCTGAATAATAGATAGGCAGTAATAGCTTCTCTAATCTTTAAAATAACTTTTTGAAAATCTTAAATTACACGAGCAATAAATCTTTCCCATTTTTTTAAATATTTCAATACTGTTAAAATCAACTCTGACCTGAACGATCTATAAATGTGTCGTTTAAGTATATCGAGAATAGGTAAAAAGGATTAAAATAAAAATGTTGTAAAATATTAAACTGCATTTTTAAGCTTGACAGGAAAAAAGGAATAGAACGCTGCTCTCGAGTGTAAAAAAGCGGTGGACACACGGACGAGAGCCGTGCATTTGTATCACGAGCATACTCGACAACTATCTGCCGGTGGCGCGTAGGATCCGCGAATTTATCAATTTATCGTGTATTCCACCGGCGAGGTCTCCCTGGCCGGCGGGGAGATTGCCTGGAATGTCGCCAGGCGAGCAATCGTTCGTCCAGCTGGAAGCGAAGAAACTCGCGAAGGTGCGCCTTGGAAGCCTTTCTGAGAGAAAGTGGCGAAAAAGAATGCACGGAGGCGGACTCGAGGAAGAAAAGGGAACCCAGAATGGACGCGGGAAGGGTGGTGAACGGGAGAAACGAGGGGTAGGGAGAATGGCGAAGAAAGGGAGAGAGAGAGGAAGGAAGGAAGGAAGGAAGGAAGGAAGGAAGGAAGGAAGGAAGGAAGGACAAAGTCTGGCGAAGGGACCACGAAATATCTGTCAATCGCAAGAGCGTGCGGGGAAGAGAGAGAGAGAGAGAGGACCGCGCGCGGTGGCGAAGTCGATTTAACGCCCGTTAAGGAAGCAATTCCTTTAAGAAGGACGAGCGCGCCTCGCCCCGCACGGACAACGTAACCCCTGGAGATCCTTGACCCTTGCCGCCCGGGGGTCTTACGACCTTTTCTCCGCGGGGAATCGCTTCCGCGCCGCCATTATCGGCGGACGAATAGAACATCAATAACCAATTTCGTAAGACTAATATCGCGAAAATTAGTTTTCCTCTCCCTCCTCCTCCTCCTCCTTTTCCTCCCTTTCCCGGCCGAAAGTCCTCTCTCCCGCGTGTCCTTCGTATTTCACCACCCCGCCGCCCGGTTACCTTTCGTTAAAAGATCGTGGACCCGCTCGATAGCGACGTTCATGGTTTTCTTAATGTCCATCCAACGGGCGGCGAACGATCGTGAATCTCCTTTTATCGTCGCGCGATAGTCGTTTTTCTCCGCATCTCTCGCGCGCATCCCTCTCCCTTCTTTTTTTTTTCTCTTTATACCCCCGGCAGATATATATCGCGGCGACGTCATTACGTCGGAGCGACGTGGCAAATTTTTTTTAACTGGCATTCTTCCCGGTTCGCGCAGGAATCTCAACGACGAATTCGGAGTACCGCGTCGGAGAGAGTTCGCAAATTACTGCATTTTCCGCTGATGAGAGAACGCCGCGATGTCAAACCACGACGACGCACGGATTGATCGTCGTCGGACTTCCGTTGTCGTCGTCGTTATTTGCATAATTCTCTGCGGAGTCCGTCTTATAAAATGTCGCGGAAATTTCACGAGTGGGACGTTAACAAATACGTCACGTCCGTGATTGAGACTTAGTTATACGATCGCGCGAAATCTTGCACGGTCTTACGTTAACTCGACGATACACCAAGCGCGGCGCGATGGCCCATAAACCGTCGACGATGCATCGGCGTGCGCGCGCGCACCCGCCGGGATGCAAATTTCAACGGGTTTTTCCAATGGCGTTGATGAATAAGGAATCGTGAGCTCGCGCCGTGTGCGAGTAACGAAATGGAGTGCGGAGAGGGAAGTTGCGGCGTAAAGACCTCGTTGGAAAACTGAGTTTCATCAAGCACTGGCCCCCTTTTCGTGAGCCTCTCTCTTCGCCCTCCGACCCTTTCTCACCCTCCTCCTCCGTGTCGCAATCTCGTCGCTCCTTTATGTATATACATTCGCTCTTATCAGAACGTGCGCTTGCACGGGGGGATGGGTGACACACACCCGGGGAAGGCCCCCGAAACAGAATTTTGCGTACCAAAGTTGACGGAGCACCTGCCATGCATTATTCCGCCCGGTCCTTTGTTGCGCGCGTCGTGCCGTATCTGTTACGTGTACTCGCGCGTTTCTCTCGTACACACATACACACACTTTTTCCATCGTTTTCTTTGTTGCCCGTCGATGACGGTCGCTTGGTAAGGAAATCGACGGTCGGCGTGTGCATCCAACATGCGCATCTCTTTCTCCCCCTCGTTAACGAAAATTGTGTCTAGGCGAGTTTACCCAAATAACTGGCGATTAACATCGCGATATTAATAGAATATGAATATATTATTATATAAATGTAAATAACGTGATGATGATTATGCAGTTGGTATATTGCGCGAACGGCACGTCACGAACAAAAGCTAATCGATTTTAATAAATGTCACTCGGTCATATGCCGTAACGTTGGATAAATTTGCAGTACAACAGACACGTTGAAGCTCTATAAAAAATATTTTGGTTGAAATACAAAAAATAAAGAAATAAAATTCTGAGGGTATACAGTTAAATTTTTCAAAATTTTATCGTGATACCTCCATGTAAGTTTAATTTCTATTGAATATATAAAGCATTATTTATATCTATTTGAATATTAATTCGTTGAGAAATGAAATATGCTCCTAGGGGTTTGCCTGTTTGCATTATTTTCAATATTTAATCTTAATAAATTGGACCGTAGAAATGTTTTCTTCTGTCTTTAACCTATATTTTATCTCAATCAATTTCTACATTTGCAAAGGTTTTTCATCCGAAAGAGCGATTGGATGCCTCGCGATTCGACGCAATATGAAGAGAAGTACAAAGTGTGTCGTACAGACCATTAATCTGTCCAATCCTGCGACATGCAGGAAACCGAAGGTACCGAAACTCGTAAGCGCGGGTTCCTCCTCCGATCCTAATCGCGCAAGCGATTCCTGGACCCCGAGACCGGTGGAAGTTAAAGTTTGTTCGTGGAAAGACGCGCAAAGGAAATGTCCGCGGCCAAAGGTGAGGGAAGAAGTTCGTTTTATCGAAGTTTTCAGAGATTTAATTAGTTCTGGAATCGCAAATCACAATTCTGTTGAGAGATGCGTAAATATTCATACAACAATACATCATCAAAACGTCTGACTCAACCTCCGGAGATAAAAAAAAACGCCACCGGCTGATTAATGCCGCTGGAACGTTGTTCAGTGTCTGACAAATAAAAATATTGCGATGAAAGAGAGAGAGAGAGAGAGAGAGAGACGGAAATGCGATGTCGAGAAACCTTTCGCGAGACGTACAGTCGTGGACAGATCGGTAATTGCGACACTTTTTTTTTATAGATTTTAAAACGCACTAATATTTTTCAAATGCGAACCACGATTGGTGCGTTATACTGTCTCTAGATTAAAGATAGTACATCGTGGTTCGCATTTGCGAAATATTAGTTACCTATAAAATATATATATTATGTATATTAAATACACATTAGAAACCTGTAAAAAAAAATGCCCGCAATCGATCTATCCATGACTGTACCTACATACATATCAAACCGTACATTTCACGCGAATCGCGAGGCATCCAATTCTCGGTTAAATCATGTGGCTTGTCGCTGTGTCGAAGCGTTCACTTGGCCCTCGCGCGATATTGACACGCCGCGTAACGAGATGATGGTGTTCGAGCACCTGTACGGAATTGGTTAGTCGATACGTAGTTGCGTTTACCTGGAATTAGCTCGACAGTCGGTGTACACTGCTATAGCGATGGGTCTCTAATGGAGGAGGGCGGTCCGAGACCCCGTAACTGTCAGGGACATCGTCGAGGTCCTTGGAACAGCGTAGCCGAGCGCGACGCGGCGAACAGCGGCGGAACGGGAAACGTTTATTTGGCACATTTATTCCCCGTGCATTTCAGCGGCAGTCCGATTTCAGAAAATTCGCATTAAGAAACGCGAAAGCTGATGAACTCTGTATGAGAGTCTAATTGCGTGCCTCTCTGGTTATCTCAAATATCTACGAATCAAAGATTCTTTATATTAGTATTTAATTAATTTATGACACTTTATGACACTGAATTTATAATATTATTTAATATGTATAATTATTTAAGTGGAATTAAGATCAGATTTAATCCAATCTTAAATTCTTTACAATAATAAAATCTGGGTCAGGTATATGACGTTTTAATTATAACGTTCGCCTTTATTTATGCAGTTCGCAGCTCAGAAGGAGTTACCTCCGTTGCCGCTTACGACCGGCGCGAAGCTTTACAGGGTTACGTCGTTCTTCGTAAAAGGCGCAATCGTTGCTGGTCTCATCTGTTGGACCTGCTCGGAGGGTCTTTGGAGCGACAGCAGCAAAACGGAGGATCTGTATTACAGAATGACGAGCGTGATTTTTCCCGATCGGCCGGTATAAACACGAAGTTAAATTTACAAATCATCAGGACGCGCACGCGCGGGTCTCACCGACACGTTGTCCTTCGTCCTTTATATAGGCACGCTTGCCGCATCTCGAGGGAATAAAATACTCCGTGTACGAGACGTACAATCACGTGGTGGTGAAAGGCATGGATATCATCGTCAGCGTGCCGCGCTGGGTGCATCGGAAACTGCGAGATCTCGTATACCCGTGCGAGGCTACGAAAGAGACGGACAGGAAGCGGAAATCCTCTGACGAGAATTCGATGGGAACGTAATTTCGCCAATTGTGCGTGTCAAAATTCGAGGATACCGCGTTACGATGGATGTGTACAGTCATCGTACACATCGGTTGCTTTCTTTTTTATAGGTTTCAAAACGCACTAATTAATATTTTGCAAATGCGGACCACGATTGATGTTAGAGAGAACTCTAGACTGAAGATAGTAACATCGTGGTTCGCATTTGCAAAATATTATTTGTTATCTATAAAGTATATATTATGTACATATTAGATGTAGTACATATTAAATACATATTAGAAACCTATAAAAAAAAAGTGTCGCAACCGATGCCGTGTCCACGGCTGTACATACGATATTTCTCTTTCGAAAAGTTCGTACAAAAAAAAGTTTGTATACTCTAAGTCTTAGTATCGCGTGGAATTTAAGTGAAAACGTGATTTACTGTGAGATCAGAAATTCTTGTAGCGTCGTAACATGCAAATAAACGCGTTTAATCCGCTGCGCCGTTTGCGCAGGCCGTTTGATATTCTAACGTGTCTCTTTCCTAGTTTTTTTTTTATATACATATATACGGGATGCTTTTGGTAAGCGCGAACATACGAGACGGGATTAAAATTCCGCGCAACATCTTTTCCATTTCCCTCCCCTCCCCCGCTTCCCCTCGCGATGCTCAAGGGCACACGTGGGAGCTCGCAAGGTGTGCATATCAAGCGATTTTTATGACCTGCCTATGTATCGTCGTAAAATCTCAGATAAAATCTTAGAAGCCGAGATAAAAATTCGCGTTTTTCATTACAGACCCCTTTCACCTGTTATCTCACTGCCTGCTGCAGTGTAGGGCGTAAACGTTGCCGTTATACACGTCGCGATACGCCGACGCCCGAGCCGTTAAGGGGAGAATATTTTTCGAGAGCTGGAGTGTCGCGCGCGCGGTCGAGTCGCGCGCGAGACGCATCCTGCTTTCGCAGACTCGCGTATATATATACCTAGAACAGAAAACGAAAAACTTACGTGCCAGACCGGGGACTTCTTCCTCCTCCGTGGCATACCGCGAATTTCTCAAAGCCGCCACCCTGCTGCTCCTCCGCCTGTGACTCCTCACGCGCCGAGTATTCCTTTTTCGTCGAACCGGAAGGAAGGAAGTTTCGGCCCCCATTTTTCAGGCGCGTCTATCTCCTTTTTGCGTGCACGTGAGCGTCGTTTGTCAGGACACCTATTTTACTTTATAAGCGCGCGTGCGTGCACCTCGCTCTTCCGGTGAGTCGTACACCCGTGCCGTTGTTGCGTAAAAGTAATACCGATACTGTGCATCACGTCACGGGATTGCCAGGCTTAAATGAACACGCCTAGGGGATTCGGACAATTAAACAGTTTATTCAGATCAAAACATGGTGTAGTATATACATACGAGTTAGTTAAACGATATCGGGTCGTTGGTGACGGACAGGGGCGAGGGGGAGGAAGGAGAGTGGGTCGGAGGGAGGGATGAAGTTGGGAGGGTCTGATATGAAATCACCTATACAATAAACTTGAGGTTCGGGCTTACGACCGCCGATCGATTTACATGGACTCTCTCGCGTCGTCGTTACGTACAACTCTGATTATGTACAGTCACATTACTCGCTACTGTTGCTTCTCCGTGATCGCCTGCGGTTATCTTCTTTTTTTCTCCCCTCTTCCTCTTTTCCTTCGCGCTCGACTGCCCGGGTCACGCTGACCGAGAACGTGACTTTCGGGCGATCCTCCGCCGCAGCACGCTCGCCGAATAAGATCCTCTCGCGCGCGCATGTGTGCGAGAGAAAAAGATTGATATATCCCCGACATTTCCCCCGTTCTTACAAAATGAATACGGGCAGTATGTACTTCGTCTTATTCTAACTCGCTCTCTCGGTCCGATCTCCCGTGATACGTCACCCGCCATCGCTCATCCTTGAACTTCCGAACGAGTTCTCGTGGACGTGAAAGATATGTGCCGTTCGATTGCCTGATCTCACGATTCTTCGATCGTTCGGTAACGATTGCTGGATTCGAGAGGTCGTCGCAAACTGAGGATAAAGAAAAAGATATTGCGTAGAAAGTTCAGGACCGGATCTCTGCTGTCGGGATCCACGAAACTATCGAATAGGAAAGAAGGGCAAATAAAAAGAATAGGATTCTTTTTTCTTTAGAGAAGGGTGAGCCATTGTATGCGACGGAGAAGTAATGAGGTTACACTTCACTCAATACGCAATAAAAAAATATTAAGAGGATTTTAATTAAAAAAAAAAATCCTTCCAACGTTTGCGCACATCAAAATCCAGTTCTGGCGTTAAAAAATTGCAACACGCACCACCGACGGTAGGCTGAGGGACGGGGAGGGAGGTGAATTTGAAAGATCTCGGCGGAGCGCGTTGTCGAGCGCGTTTCCGTGTCAAATCGTGAACGCTGATGAAAACAATTCCCGCGATTTCGCCCTCGCGCAGCGGGCAGGTGACGGAAAACGTTAAACGAGGTCGTTCGACGAGTCGGCTCCGCCGCGAAACTTATCTCTTCCTCTCGAAAAACTTGAACGTTGTCAACCTATCGTTAGACTCTCCTGTGACGATATATACAGCGATACATTAGCTAACGAGCAACCATCGTACTTGATCATTATCTCTTTATATATACATCAAAACACACCACACACCCGACGATTGATTCGACGTTATTCGCCCGCCTGTAATTCCGAGGGTAGCGACTACTACGCGTCGCCGCCGACGCGATACACTCGTTATTCATTCCTCGGTCCGTCACTCACTCTCTCTCTCTCTCTCCTTTTCTCTTTTTTTCTTTTTTCTGGTTTTTTTTTACACATTACGAGTCTATCGATCATCCGAAGCGAGCACGAACTTTTCCGCGGGCAAAGTTCGCGTTACACCGTTTCCATTAGGGATATACGCCTTTTCGTCGATTCGTTAGTTCCATTCTCGCCGTAGAAGTTTCACGACTTCGTCGCGAAGTGTCACGTGGAAGACCAGTTTTTGCAAAACCTTACAAAGTGAAGCTTTCCTCGCGCGAGAACGCAAAGAACGTCGCGAACGCTGCCGCGCGCCGTCTTCCTCTTCGTATCTTTCTCTTTCTGTCTCTCTCTCTTTCTCTCTCTCACTCTCTCTCATGCGAATCGAACGCGAATAACGGTGATAATGATTTGATAAAGGATCCGTTAAAACTATGTATATATTTACACACACGCGTACACACCCACACGCACACATCCCGGTGGGAATACTTCTTAGAACGTTTGAGAGCGTCCGAGTCTCGCAAGGGCAGTATTTTTTTTTTCATCATTCGGCGGGGAGTACAGAAAACTCATATCGGCGGTAGAAAAATTTATAAATGCTCTATCACAATTACCAATAGAGTGTAATGTGCGCCTGGTCTTGTTTCCGTAAGAATCGCTTCCACTTTTTGTACGTTACGCGGCTCGGCGTGGTTTTCATCCCCCTTGAGATGGGACGAGAGGGACGTTTTCAGCCTCTTTTCTCTCTTTCAACTGCTCGTTAATTCAATTGCATTTACTCGAGATCGTAAAAATTAAACGGCAGTGAGACTTACGGCGATCGATGTCGATCTCGAGATTCGATATGTTATAGACTCACGAGCGCTCCTTCCTTTCGTCTCTCGGGGACTTTCTCGAATTTTAATATCGTTATCGTTACTCACGTCCTATCTCCCGCAATATCGCGCGAACGTAAATATCACCGACACTGCACATCGTTCGTTCGGCATTTGTCGGTGCTGATGCGATATGTGAAAGTTGTGCCCAAAATATCGAATTCGAAGAATTTAAACAGGATATCGACGCCCGCGCTTCCTACCCCTCCCCCGCTTTCTCCACGCTTTATCGCGATATCGGAGCTGATCGTTCAACCTTAAAACCGCATTTCACGCCTTCAAACTACATGCCAAAGTGGCATCGAGCATTCCCTTTCTTCCTTTCATTCCCACGTTCCTCCTCCTCCTCCTCTCGCGCCCGACTTCTTCTCCCGGCCCTCTTGGCCCTCCTCCCCTATCCCCCGGTATATTTTCGCGCGGTTCCTTCATTCGTCTTCATTCGAACCATCGGAAAAGGGGTTCGTTCGAGAGCCTTTTATCTTTCCTCGTGTTTCACGGCCTGATGCTTCCGGACCAGCGTTTCGTTGGTAGAATTCGGATTTATTTAGGAACGTCGCGAGAGATGCTAGCGGGCTGGCGGGCAGATATATAACAACAAAAAAAAAACGAAGACGAGGGGAATAATAACGAACGAAAGATTAATGCGTCCGGAGGAAATTTACCCGAGGCCGGGAAAATGTATAGCAAGCTAAATGTAATTGGCTGAGAATAAAAAGAAGAGAATAAAATAGAGAGAGTTGTTTTTCCATTGTACATAAAAATAAAAAATTAATTCCGTTTTGTACAAAATTCCAAAAGTGCAGGGCACTGCAACAAAGGGGATGAATTTTGATGCTCTTCCGTCGAGATGTCTCCCTCGAAGATGTATTAATTTCGGTGCTCAATCCGAGCAGCTCTCGCAACTCGCGATTCGATTCTCCGCATTTCCTCTCTTATAGTCCGCGGGCCGCCATAGTGAGACGCAAACTAGGAGAAATATTCGAGTAGACACACCCGTCGAAGATCATCCGCTTCAAAACAAAAAGGGGGGCAAAGACGGTTAAGTCGACGACCGAAAACAGAATGTTAGAACTTGGCAATACCTCCCGAGGCGGGACAGGGGGAAAACTTCGACGAGTTTTCGGTTAACTTCTTCGCGCACTTTCGCCCCATCCCCGTCGCGACGCGACGCGACGCGACGGGAAACTGGCTCGCGCGGCGATCGTGTTTCGAAAACAATCGCGACGGACGGTGTCTCTTTTAATCTCGCGTATGTATATACCATCCCGCGAAAAGTCGCGCCGCGCGCGCGAGAACTCGACCTCCCCCGATCCGGGCGCCACCGGACTCGAGCGAAATCAATTGTTCGCAAGACGTAATGTCGATCTCCGACACGTAACGTATATCCCCGGGCGTCCTATTGATCGCTTGAACTACCACGCTAGCGAGAGTCCTCTCTCTCCTCTCTCTCTCTCTCTCTTTCTTCCCCGCTTCGCTGAACGGAGTCGATCGCGCCGG